TGTTCAAGGCCAGGTTGGACACAGGGGCTTGGAGCAACCTGCTCTAGTGGACGGTGTCCCTGCCCGTGGCAGGGGTTGGAATTGGATGAGCTTGAAGGTCCTTCCAACCCAAACCATTCTATGATTCTATGACATTAGATGGAGAGAACTGCACAAGAAGACTTACTAAGTGGTGCACATGATTATCTGCTCTGTTGGGTTTTTGTGTATTTTCGTTTGAACTAAGTGTAAAGTTGTAGAAGCTGGTGGTTGGGGATGGTTTGGTTTTGTTTGCTACATAGCTGAGGATGAGTGCAGGCACTTAGGCTAAAGGATTTTAGCCCTTGGGAAGACTGACCTGTATCTTGCAGTTGGGAAGCAGGAAAGCACCATCAGTTAATCGGGGTCTGAGCTCTCTGCAGGGGCTGGAGACAGGCCCAGACATACACATACTTTTTTGTCATGTTTAGCTTTCAGCTTTTAAGGGCTTTTTTGGAAAGGTTTCCTTTAAAAAGTCATTGAGAGATGTTACAAGGAGGGTATTGACTGAGATTTTGAGTATAAATGTTTGGGGATTTCTTAATTTCTCAGGCTTGAATCCAGATTTAAAATACTCTGAAAGAAACTGGTGCTTAGTCCCTCATCAATTGTCCTGGTATTTAGGAAATTCTGATTCTTTAACATTGGACCCTTTTGGGAAGTGTCCCAGCCCCCCAAAGGGGGATGTCTTTCTAATTTGCTGGGTTTGACTCTGCTTATTACTCTGAAATGTTTGGATTTCCTTATAAGAACACAAGTCCATTCCCGATGTAAACTGCTTCTCCATTTAGTTCTGTTTCAAACAACACTTACGCAGAGCTGTGTGTCTCCAGATGTTCTAACACAGAGTTTTGAAAGTTGACCAAGAATAAGAGAGAAATTGAATTGCACTTTCCTAAACGAGGGAAATACAGGCTGGGGTTTGTATGGATTTTCTTAATGATTTCCAGAACTTTATTCTTGCTCTTCTGAATTAGTCTTCATAATGGAATTCTGATTGAGTATTGGGGAATTGCCAGAAAGGGCTCCTAAATTTCTTTCTTTGGACACTTAAGGGTTGGACTGGGTTAATACCACAGTTGACTGTGACCACCCAGTGTTGACAATAGGCAGACTTCATTCTTGAAGGCACCTTCAGAGGGTCCCTTTCAGTGAATATTTCTGTTTAATCCCAGACTGGTTTGGGCTGGAAGGGACCTTAAAACTCATCCAGTTCCAACCCCCTGCCACGGGCAGGGACACCTTCCACTAGAGCAGGTTGCTCCAAGCCCCTGTGTCCAAGCTGGCCTTGAACACTGCCAGGGATGGGGCAGCCACAGCTTCTCTGGGCACCCTGTGCCAGCGCCTCAGCACCCTCACAGGGAAGAGCTTCTGCCTCAGAGCTCATCTCGATCTCCCCTCGGGCATGCTAAAGCCATTCCCCTTGTCCTGTCCCTCCAGGCCCTTGTCCAAAGCCCCTCTCCAGGTTCCTTGTAGGCCTCCTTTCTCATAACTGCCAATTTTCTACTTAAAATGCTAAAATATGCTTTAAAATACCTCAATTTTAGAGTTGCTGCTATCTTTTAGAATTGAGGTGTTTGCTACCCTTGGGACATGAATTGTGCTTGAAGTAGGATGTTGTTTCGTTAAGTTCTTTAGCCTTTCTGAGAAAAAGTCTCATCTTTTCTTCAACTAAGGATAGAGCTTTTGAAGAATAGCACTTTTGGAAAAGGTGCTTATTTGAGTTATTATGGTTTGATTTGTGTTTCTACAGCCCCTCAAATGAATGCTTAAGACTTTTCTCATTTTTTGGCAATAGAAGATTTTCTGATAAACTTCCATATTGTGTCGATCCTTCAAATTCTTTTGGCTCCAGATATAGTTTACTTGCTTTTGTAAGGTTTTGCTGAAGGTGATGCAATAGAACTGTATTAGGGGATTCAAATAATGCTGTTTCCTTGCTTGGTCAGGAGTTGGAAAGTGTTGACACTGAGGTTTTGTGACATCCCTCCTGGTAGGCGTGTATTTGAAAGTGGGATTAAACTGTTGAACAGAAAACTCTCTTAATCTTGAGTGGCCCCATAATTGATTGTTTGGTCTGAGATGTGCTTGAAAGAAGGATTTGAATTAATCTGTTCTTCATTGGGTTTATTCCCTTTTTAAATCGTTATCTGATGTGTGCCTGACAGTGACCTCGCTGCTCTGCTTCTAAAGCTTTGCAGTACACCACATCTTCTAGCACATGGATTTGCATCCGTGGACAGTGTTGTGCTTGTTCTGATAGCTACTTCCATAGAGCAATCTGTCTGCCTTTATCTGTCACTGAGCAGGAGGGTATGTTGCTGAGCTCTACTCTTAGCAGCAGGTACTGTGAAACAGAGGAATGCAAGTAAAAACATCCCTTAATTTTTGAAGCATTTCCCACTAATGTGAGACCTGAGCTCTTTTTTGGGAGTTTGGACCATTAATGAGTGCTGTCTCCAGCGCATCACACCCACTCCTCTCCCGGGTGCAGTGATTGCTTGCTGGCAATCTGTTCCATCCATGTTCTGCAGCTTGGCTTGCTCCGTGTGCTACTCCGGGTCGCTCCCACTGCGTTACTCGCCTGCTTGCACATGGGCTTATTTCTGGAGCAAGCAGACTACTTCCTAATGGGAACGTGGGCAGAGCCACTGTGGTAGCTTGTGTGTGGGCCTGAGCCATATGGTATGATCCAGGATCGCTCCACGTTTGGATCCTTCTCCCTAGGACAAGTCCGAAACAGGATCCAACAGGTCTAGTTCTCTTGACCACCCTGGCAAGCTCCTCAGTGATACCTTGGAGGACATGCATGCCCTTAGCTTAGTGCCGTAAACACTCCCTTGTTCACAGCGTTTTGAGCTGAGGAATGCCAAAACCAACAACTTTCAGAAATTCCCAAATGAGATGGGCTGAATACATGTACGATAAGACACAGAATATGCTTCAGAGAGCAAAAGTAGTGTAGGTACAGAGCAGTTTGTTCCCATTTAGGTGGCCAGAAAGAATTTGAGGACTTGTCTGGTTCTGGAGTTTACCTGTCATCAAACATCTGAGTATTGAGAATCCAGCAGTGAATGCCATGTAAATGGGGGGTTGAGTAGTTGGCAGAAAGAGATAGGATAACTAGTGCATGAATGCCGTCGCTGGTGTGTAGGAACACATTTGCTCTGATCATGGTACAAAGCATATGCTGGGGTTATGGCAGAGACAGAAGGTACAAACTGTGTCTTCTGCCCAGGCATTAGGGGGCCTCTTGATAATTTGATTACAGTTGCCATTAAAATTCATTTTAGACTTTTTTTCCTAAGGTTATATTTGGAAGAGTCATGGGTATTTTGGGGAAAGGAGAAAAATAGCCTTTTGTTCTGCATATTTATTTGTGGTAGTTTAGTTCCAAGTAGATTGCTGGACAGTCTTTACTGGTGGGTATGTTTTCAGTTCTCACAGTCAGAATGGCCTTTTCATGTGGTAAAAGACTGGGTAAATACACGCTTTGTGCTTGTTCTTAAGGGGGTGGAAAAAAGAAACCAAACCCTTTCCAGCTCAATTCAAAGGAAACCCACAGCTAATTCAGAGGGTTCATTTCCATAAGGGTGTAGAAAACCATGGTTGATTTTTGTTTTAGGATAAAGCTTGCATTACTTCAGTGTGCAAGGTACCTCGTAGTTTTATTGGGGTCACAATTGACTCTCTGCTCCAGTAATTTCATTTTCCAGTACGTAAAAGCACTCTCTGGCAGCTACCTCATAAAGTCAGGCTGGACAAAGCCAAGCCTATACCTTTCTTTAGTAAATCTCTACTAGCTGGTGTAAGTCCCAGGTTCAGGGAGTTTGCAGAGTCAGAATCCTGACGGTGGTGAATCAGTTTGTGTGTCTGGAGGCGATGGCAGGGAGCTGTTCCTGTGGGAGGCTGGGTGGGGAGGTCTCTTACTGAAAACCGTTTACGTGGGTACGATGGTGAGTGAATCCTGGGAAGCTGCAGCAAGGAAATTAGATGTTTCATTTGGGGTTGTTTTGGGGTTGTTTTTAGTAATACGGTCATACTTCTGATTCTGCCTCTCTAACAACTTTGTCATCTACAACATATTTGCAGATCCAGAGGAGCCGCAGGACTTGATGTTTGTGAGACAGCCCTCTTCACTTACGAAGCTTGTTGGGCAAAATGCAGTTTTCCCATGTGTTGCTGTAGGATTTCCAGTTCCATATATCAGGTGGACAAGAAACGAAGAAGAGCTTATCACAGAAGGGTGAGTAATGGCTAATATGTATTTTTATGCTGGCGCGCTCCTAGGCTGAGTGTTAGGACAAGTAAGGTAGTTCATGGGGCTTATGGAACAATCTTCTGGTAGGTTTTTTTGCAGACATCTGAAACCAAGGAATCTTATTTAAAGCACAAAGGTTCTTAGAGTATATATTGCTTTTAGATTGCCACTGGAGTAAAAGAAGCATTTAAGGGAATAAGGATGCTGCAGAAAAGCTGAAACATCTTCATGTTGATATATGATGTGTCAAGCCCTGCACTTGCATTACGTTTTCTGCAATGAAAATGTTCAGTGTGTGTCTAAATGTTCCACAAGAATTTAAGGGTAAGTGTTTGAAGCAGAATCTCGTGATTTCTCATTAAACCAGAATATTAAAATGTTAGGCATGAATAAAAACCATCGTGGGCTTTCAGGAATGCATTAAGCGCAAACTGCTCTATTGCATGTTGTCACTGCTGGTGTAGTCATTCAAAATAAGGTGGTAGGAAATAAAAGAAAGCAGAACAAATCTTATCAAGAAAATTTTTGTCTATCATATGAACATACTTACTAGAACATGGAAATTCCAGGTACTTGAATGTTCTTGGTGTTTCTCAAAGTCAGTGGCGAGATTAATGTGGGAAACAAGTGAATCGTGAAGCAACAAGAGGTAAAGATATGCTGCTGCATGGCTGACATAGAAAGCAGCTAAAGCATGTGCAAGTGTCTCTACGGTACTAGTAGTAGTAATGTATCTCTGGTCAACTGTTAAATTAACAAAATCCAGGAGCTCCTAATTTGAGCTGTCATTCTCTGGAAAAGGCAGGATTCTGTGGGTAATGACTAACAGTTTCAATAGCACAGAGATATTGTGTTGGTGTCAGCCTGATGGCACATGATTTAGGTTCTTTCTTCTTTTGTAAATATGAGAAATCACTTGCATACAGAGGATGGAACAGACTCATTAGAGTTGCACAATCAAATGTGATGAAATGTCAGAATAAATGTTCCTGGTAAGATCTTAATGTGTTTCTCCTGTCTGTAAAATGATGTCATGTCACATCTTCATAAATTTTTGCTGCCCCTCCACCCCATCCTTCCTTAGGTTCTGTCACATTCAGTGCACAAGGGCAGTTCAAGTCACTTACTAAAGAGCTATTTTCTTCTTGGTTTTGATCTAGTGCCCAAATGTTGTAATCCTGCTCTGAATACAGTGCTGTTAATTCCATCACAACTTTTCTGTGCAGGTTGTCATGATAACTTCTGAGGGCTTCACAGATACTATTTTTTCTGTTCAAAATTCAGAGTGAGAAATTTTCTTGGAGAGCTGAGGCATAAAATTCAACACATTTGTTCTTTCTACATGCACAATTTGAGCCACGTATGACCATGTTCTTCAGGATAGTTAGCGTTAGTTTGTGGTGTGATGTCTCTGTTACAAGGCTGGATGCTGGTTGATGGTTGCTGTGGCCTCTGTGTCAGGTTGTGGCTGTGAGCAGTCAGCAGAGCACTTCCTCTGTGCTGACATCAGCTCTTGGCTTGGTGCTGCTTTTGCTTGAGCATCTTTCCATCATCCCATGGACACTGTGTGGTAAGGCAGGAGCAAGAGCCACGAGACTGCTGGTTTTCTCCAGATTGTGTTACTAACCGCTTCTCTACTCCTGCAGCAAGTGAGCTGTGCATGTCTTCTGCCAAGCCCAAGGAAAGCTTCTTGCCAAACAGAAAGCTGCAGGTGCCTGGATGCTCTTGGAACCTGCTGATAGTCACATCCTTTGGATATGTATTCCCTAATGAGGATAAAGCTGAAAAGACAAAGAAATATTCCTCTTCCATTTGAAATAAATGTTTTCTTCTGCACTAAGATACAGCCAAAAAGGAAAATAAGGGGTGTGAACAATGGAAATTGTATTTCCTTGGACTTGCTGTTACTTGTAGCACCTTTCTGGCCTGGCCGAAGACGAGTGAGTAAAGTTCATTACAGTGATCAAACTGTACCAAAACTCTGAGGTCTGTTACTCATGGCTGTGGCTTAACAGAGAACGATTCAAACAGCAGACAGCAAAAAGTTCTTTAACTTCATTTACCTTGGCAGCTGTTGTATTATTCTTTTGACTCGAATAACTGGAAAATCTCTGGAACTAAAAATTAAGGTTCTTTGCTGGAGTAAAGCCTCCAGGTAGACTGTTGCAAAATAGCTACTGTAGCTTGTTATGCATGGTCTGTTAATTTAATTACGAATTAAATCACTTTTAATTTGTATTAAAATCCCCTTTTGATATAAATGACTTTACTTACTAGCATGGCTTTCCTTTTGCCCAGGAGAAAACTGTTCCTTTTCATCCAGACAGGTTTTAATGTACCTTCTGTCTGGGAAAAGCTCTGAAATTGTGGGCTTTGTCTATACATACACACACACACACACTGCAGACATTCCCATGCATATATGTAGGTATACACACATGTAAATACATATGTATTGATGCATGCCTCTGTGTAGGTGGGGTTAGGAAGCAGAACTCTAATAGCATGGTCAGGGCTGTGTCTGATTTTTACTCCTTTTTAAATGGTGGCAGTTAATCCAATACAAAATGAAATGTTTTCATTTCAAGCAGAATAATGATAGGTTCCCTGTATTTATAGGAAAAATAGATGATTTTGAATGAGTGGTGGGGCTTTGACATTAAATATTTGTTGGAAGACCTGAAAAAAGGGAAGGTGTTTAATTTCAATGAAGTATGTGTTGAAGTAAGATTTGTGACTGGATAAATACGAGTCAGCTTTAATGATGGCAGTCTTGGCGCTTGTTCAGAGAAGCAGCCTGTAATGCAATATATTGTGAAATGAGCTTGCTGTGATAAAATAGCTTCCAAATTGGAGTGAAAAAGAAGGAAGCTTGGAGTGTAGAGTGGGAAACTGGTGAAGTTCAGTGCAATGCTAACAATTTCCATTGTAGTAAAACTGTTAGAACTTCAAGGAAGCCCTTCAGAACTTAACTGAAAGATTTTAAAGCAATAGAAGTGATAGTTAGACTGCTGGCTTTCTGGGTCCTCATCAAGAACTCCATCAATGACTGCAAAGTACCCAGCTTCCAGCCAGGTCTTGGAAGTCTTTGTCCTCAGAAGCTGAAGAGTAAGATGCTATTTGGAGGAAGGGTCTGTGTAGGTTTGCACTGCCTGGAAGCCGTTCTGTAGGCACTGCTGTCTAGCTGAGGTCTGCTCCTCTGAGGCCTTTCTTACAGTGCTCACAATTTCAGAGAGAAAAAAAAAATCACCAAGTTGAAAATTGGACCCGATAACCTGTGACTGAGCAAAGCACTTGACTTGTGATGGAAGCTTTTCATTGAGTTGGCTTGCTGGTCAAGCAGTAGTTTGATATGTGACAGTCTTCTCAAAACTACATTGAAAAGAAAAGGCTAAACCCTGTTTCAGGTTGAGATTTATGTTGCTGTGCATGTAGCTCCAACCTAGAGCTTCAAAATATGAAGCCAGCCTCTAGATTCAATGTATTCATGTGGGAATAATCTTGAGGTATAGAGTGTTTTGCACATAGCTCTTGGAGAGCACTACTGGTGGGCACCTGCCCTGTCATATGTGAGTCAGGAACACAAATGTGCATTCTACTTGTTCAGCTGGATTTCCTCCATAAACTCAATGAGTAAATTCTCTGCCGGGAACATGGGAAATATGGAGAGAAATGGAAGGAAGTGAGGAAAGTCACTGAAGTATAAAGCTGATTGAATAAATCTTATGTCCTTTGCAGAAAACCTTCTAAAGTAAAATCTACTGTATGGTCAATATTACCCGATATTATAGCGGAAATTTGATATCCAAGTTGAATAGTTTTTTGTCAACTTTGAGCCTTTCATACTTTTTTGAATGTCTCATCTGGCCGGAGGTCTGACTGTGCGAGGGTCTCTTAGCAAATGCAGGAGTAATTTTCTGCTTTTGATGATTCTGAAGTTGCAAAGTGTTTCAGGGGATGCCAAGATGGGTTCTCAGAACATGTAAGACAGGCACAGAGTTTCACATGCTTGGAAGGTGAAGTTCTGCTTTGAAACCTTTGCAAGTGTGTGGAGCAGTGTGTGCGCAAACAGCACAGATTGTGTATCTTGATTTATATTTGGACATGGATATGGAAGAACTTACAAATGAATGCACAAACTCTTGAAAAAGTTACAGTAAATGAGGTGGTGAATGTGAAAATTAACAGTTGAAAGGTCTCTGAACAACAACATCCTGTTTTAATGTGGCTGTTCAAGTACAGGTAACTCTTTGGTGGTTTTGAGCTGTTCAATACAGTCAAATCTTACACTGAAAAATGCCTTCAGAAGACTAACATGTTTGTGTGGTTAATCACGTTCTGAAGTGAGGAGATCCCAAAGCTGTCGTTGCATGTGTGGTTGCATTTTACGCTCTTGCTGTTTGCATTCAAATGAAGTCTTTAAATGTCTGGTCGCGTATGTGCTCTTGATGCAGGGCTTTGTCATTAATACTTCATACAAATGTGTGATGTTTTTAATGATTGCAGGTTATTATTTGCCAGGCACTCCGAGTGATTTGTATTAAGTGAATACTTGCTCAGCTCAGTAAAGGTTAAACATAGAGTAATTATGGAGATTTTTCTGGTAGTAGGTTCCACAAAATAGTGTAATTTACTGTCTAATTTTATCTACTGTACTTTACCAAGGCTGCAAATAGATTATCAGATGTTTGGGGAATAGTAATTTAAAAGGGGGGAACCAAAACCTCAGGGTATAACTGGCTATTTGAATACAGTAAATTAATAAAGACTCACTATGTTTTGTAATAATGAAACACAAAAAAGTCATGTGAGTGGGTATCCAAAGTGGCTTCAGTAATTATATCTTATGAGTGTGTAACTAAGGGCTGTATGGAACGCGTATAAAAGGCTTGAGTTTGATTTTCCTGTTTCCTGACATTTGAATGATCAATCCTTGTTTTTAATGGCATTTTAAATTACGTTATCATTTTTACATGAAGCTGATTCTTTGTCTCCAGTGTCTGAAATCTGATTGCTTCAGTCTTCTGTGGAAATGCTTCATTGTTCTTACAAAATTAAGATGGTTTTACTTTATTACAAAAGCACTTTTGCTTTAAGCCCAGAATTTTTGCATAGCTAATGCATACAGAAGGAATCACCAAGGAGTCTCATAAGTTAATTTCCTTCTTCCATGTTTTTAACAGTGGTGAACTTGTGTCGCATCACATATGGGTAAACTCTGGACTCAGCTCTAGGTTTTCTTGAGGAAAATAAAGAGAGAAAAGCTTGGCACACAATTGAGATGACTGAAAACTATAAAACCTTGTTTCTTGGCAAAAAGGCAAATCCATGTAAATGCTACCATGTTGCCAGTAGTTTCTGAGGTCCTATATGACTGACTTTGGTGGGCCAGTGTGACAACGTCTAGTGATTTTTAATAGTCTTAGTAACATCTTAATTGCTGGTTAATAAATAGTCTGCCTCAATAGTCTGCTGCATCCCCATGCAGATGTTACTTCACTTTTCCAGACGCTGGCGATGGGAAGATGAGCATCATAAGGCATCTGTTGCTCGGAGTTAGGTAATGATGGTATATCCAGAAAATGGTAGGAATCCAGAGGTTCAAGTATCAGGAAGAGCATAATTTTCTTAGATCTTTTTAGATAGTCTTAGAACTTTCTTGGGTGGTCAGATTTGCCTTGGAGGTGGTGTAACCCACAATGTCTAGGTTCAGTTTCTTTGTGCTGACTTCAGTAGACTTGTGTGGTTTAAAACTAATGATTTTACCTAGATAGGATAAAGGTAAATAGAATTGTAGAATGGTTTGGGTTGGAAAAGGCCTTAAGATCATCCAATTCCAATCTCCCTGAGAGTTTCCAATTCAAATCTCCCTGCCATTGGCAGGGACACCTCACACTAGACCATGTCGCTCAGGACTCTGTCCAGCCTGGCCTTGAACACTGCCAGGGATGGGGCAGCCACAGCTTCTCTGGGCACCCTGTGCCAGCACCTCAGCACCCTCACAGGGAAGAACTTGCTTATATCCAACCTGAACTTCCCCTGTTTAAGTTTAAACCCATCACCCCTTGTCCTGTCACTACAGCTTTTGAATACAAGAAAGTGGGAGAACATGGGGAAAAAAGCGAAGTAGTTTTGGCAGCTCCTCTTCACGTCTCCTATGTATCAATTTTTCTTGCTTGAAATAGTGAAGGATGATCCATCTCCTATTTTTTTATTACCACAAAAGCTCCTATTTTTTTCTACATATTAGTTTTTCGTCTAATCCATGATAGGATGCTCCTGCCTTTTTTTTTGGCTGCAGTGACAATAAAATACATACAAAATAATCCAGTTTCTATATTTTCCTTACTTTGTCCTTGAAGCACTGTCAAGCAGTTCCAAAAGAGATTTTAATGACAAACTTCTTGCTGTTTTCCTCTTGGCTAGCACCTCTTTGCAGTGCTGTCCACTTGCTGCTCTACTGTTTCTTCAGGCATTCTTCCTTTTAAAGCTCAAATTCCCTGCACTACTTACAAAACCAAGTCTTTGCAGTCTTCCTGTTACTAGATCATGTAAACAGGATGCCTTTCCTTATGGGGTACATAGGACATCTTTCTGGATGCTTTTAAGACTTCACTTAATTCCAATAAACATTTTGTTTGCTTTTAAATGTATTGAATCAGGAAATTGATCAACAATTATAGTAGTACTGTAAATCAATACTAATGTGGTAGTTAGTTAGGTGAGTCAGAAGTCTTTGTGTCCTAACAATTCACCTTTCCAAGCAGGTAAGAGCATTGGTTCTACTAACAGAATTCTAGTAAACTTTCAAATGGAGAAAGAAATTGGGTGGGTTTGTTTTTTTTTTTGGTGCTTGGAGTGATGAAGGATTTTGGAAACTTTTGTATCATGTAAAGGGGAATGATGGTTGCAGTAGGAGAAGAATGTCGCTGTTGGCTGTGGGTACGATGTTTAGCATAAGATGCTACATATGTCTACTATGTTTAGCATAAAAAGCAGGTAGTTTATAAGGACTGAATTATAAATGCTTCCCCCTGTCTTTACAAGGGGGGAAATTCTGTACAGAAACGTTGTCATCTTGATGAATTTGTATCTTGAAAATGTTTTTAACCTGTATCTTGCTCTGAAATCTTGCACCTTAGCGAAGTGGCTGTCTTTTTACCAAAATGCAATGACTATGTGTTACGCTATGTGTGCTTCTTTCCTGATGTTGTACAGGTGAAAGTCTGTCATGTTACAGCCTTTCACACAACACATTGCTCCAGCTGTATCTCCAGAATGGTTTTTTTTAATGATGTGGTCTTATTATTTCATTTTCCTTAAGTTTGACTTGCTATTATCTAAACACCTTGGATCACATTTAATTAAGAGCAGCTGAAGCTGCAAGTGCCAAAAGATGACCTACTCTTGTGGAATTGATGTAGTTGAACCTCATTTTAAATGTGAAGCCAAGGTGTGGAATTCGATTATCTAGTTAAAAATCCCTCACTCTAACATGGCTTCTTGTACAGGGCACCTAGAAATACTGTGTGCAAACACTTCTTCAGCTTATGTAGACATTTTGGACTTGTGTGTGCTTCTCTGGGGACACTATTGAAGTCAGTGTGTCTGTCAGCTCACCCATGTCCTGTTTTACGCAGCTCTGGAAGGTTTCTTCTGCTTGCGGGGGGCAGCCTGGAGATCAGCGAGGTTACAGAACAGGATGCGGGGACCTACACCTGCATAGCAGACAATGGAAATGACACCATTGAGGCTCAAGCAGAACTTACAGTTCAAGGTAGGTCCTATACTTGATTTGCAGAGAGAACACATCTCCAGGTGACCTTTCCCAAGAATTTGATCGTGTGGTCAGTGAAAGACCGTGTTGGGTGTTGTGCCCCATTTAAAACAAAATAAAACACACACTTCCCCTTCTTTTAATAGTGTTGTGTGCTACTCTGATTTATTATTCAAACTGCTTATAATTTCACAAGGATTTGGTTATATAATGCATCTTGACAAGACATATAAAGGACATATAAAGAATTTTTCATAATCCTTAAATATACTGTTGAGTTAGTACTATATATATTTTGTTATATATATTTAAGATGATACATTTTTTGTCTCTTAGCTGTGTTTCAGAAGTTCCAGGTATGTTTCTGGTATATAAGAGGTAGAGAAGTTAGAAAAATCAAGAATGGATGACAGGAGTTGCTCAGTATTGACCAGCCAAAGTCGTCGTCTTCAGGAAGTGGCATATGGAGGAAGGTTTATACTGACATTCACAGGATTTCTGCTGTGTCACAGCTCTATTTAACCACATCTGTGTAAAACTGAATATCAATTCTGCACCTTATTAACAAACACATGGAGGGGAATAGTCGTCTTTGTTACCTGTACCTTGAGCTGCACCTTGTGTTTTATCTCCCCTGATCTGGGCACTAGCTCTCTGAGCATGCCTCTTGCTTTCTGTGGGTTACTGGTACACAAGTCAAGTATTTTGGCCAACTCTGCCCTTCTTTAAAAGCTTGGGAAGAACGCCTGAGGCCTGTACTCCCTGTGAGGCTGCTCAGATGCAATAGAGCTCTACTTCAACTCAGAGTATTTTGTAAGCCAAGAAATTCTGGTCATGCAGAAAACGACCCTCCACATTTTTCATCCCTTGTTCCTTGGGCCAGAAGACTGAAGATGCTGTTCTGGCTTTCGGGTTATTTGTATGCTTGATGCACCGTAGCACTTGGTGGCGGTTTTATGCAACTCAGTGTGCTGTGTTTAATTCAGTTCCAACCTATCTATTTTGCAGAATTGGCACAAGGCTGTGAGTTTTATGGGCAATGGCAGAAATTAATAATATTAACGATATGTAATTAAGCTAAGCAAGTGATAGATAAAACTGAGTTATAACCTTAATGAAGGACATGAGCAGGCAGTGTGCGCTTGCAGCCCAGAAAGCCAACCGTATCCTGGGCTGCACCAAAAGAAGCGTGACCAGCAGGTCAAAGGAGGTGATCCTGCCCCTCTACTCTGCTCTTGTGAGACCTCACTTGGAATATTGTGTCCAGTTCTGGTGTCCTCAACATAAAAAGGACATGGAGCTGTTGGAGCAAGTCCAGAGGAGGCCACCAGGATGATAAGAGGGCTGGAGCACCTCCCGTATGAAGACAGGCTGAGAAAGTTGGGGCTGTTCAGCCTGGAGAAGAGAAGGCTGCGTGGAGACCTCATAGCAGCCTTCTAGTATCTGAAGGAGGCCTACAAGGATGCTGGGGAGGGACTCTTTGTTAGGGACTGTAGTGGTAGGACAAGGGGTAATGGCTTTAAACTTAAACAGGGGAACTTTAGGTTAGATGTAAGGAAGAAGTTCTTCACAGTGAGGGTGCTGAGGCACTGGAATAGGTTGCCCAAGGAAGTTGTGAATGCTCCAACCCTGGAGGAGTTTAAGGCCAGGCTGGACAGAGCCTTGGGTGACATAGTTTAGTGTGTGGTGTCCCTGCTCATGGCAGGGGGGTTGGAACTAGATGATCTTAAGGTCCTTTCCAACCCTAACTGTTCTATGATTCTATGATGTACAGTCAGGTCACTTAGGGGCTGAAAGTGAGCTTGGGAAACTCTTTTGTTCCTTATCTAAACTAATGGAAATGATTTCTTTATTCAATTGTAAAGGTACAGAATATGTTCTGCCAGGTCTTTTATGCTGAATTTTTCTTATATGCCTGGCACAAAAACCCCAAAAGATTTCTTCTAATGCTTTAGTATTAAAATAGATTAAAGATGACACGGAATACATTTTGGAAAGTTGCAGTTCTGATTTTACTTCTCAGTTCTAATCTTAATTCTACCTTTCCTTTGAGAGGTCACTGGAGAGAGTAATTGTATTTCTGCATTACTATAATTTGCTGAAGCGTTGAATAGTTTGAATAACTGTTCTCTGATCACTGTATCATTTTCTTCTGGACTAGAAAAATTGCCATCTCTTCCCACCTAATAACTGCATGATTTTACTTAATCTAAGCTTTTTCTGTCGTTCTTAGAAATTAGTCTGGCAGAAGTTCATATAAGAAAGCCATTTTTTGAGTATTTAATTCCCTTGCCTAATGTATTTTTCTGCATCTCTCCAAGTACCTGGGTGTGTTTGTTTGGAGATTTCAGTGCTGTGCTAGAGGTTTTACTGAGACAGTCTCTTTTTTTTTCCCCTTCTATTACCATTTCACAATCCCAGTTGAGTAAGACATGTAGATCTCTAGTTCAGCATGGGTAAGATGGCATTGTTTGACAGTGTTAGGACAGTTGAGAGTGAAGCGATGTTCCTGTTGATGCCTCTTAACTGTTAGAAGCTGTAAACTTAAATTGGGCATTGACTGCTAAGAATGCTTGTTGGATGTCACTTTGCTCCAAGACCTCTTTCCTGTATCCTTTGACAAGGATATAAACCCCTGGAAGCTAACAGGCTCTGTCTGTGATGTGGTACCAGTGGCAGCAAGCTGTCAACCAGCCGCTGCATTGGAAGGATTACTTGGATCTCCGTTCTTCCCTGGCAGTAGGGATGAAACGGGTGATTTTCATATTTCAAGGGTAGGGTACCGTGAAGTGTGGCACATCTGGATTGTGTGCTGTGCTCAACTGGCAAGAAATACCTATGTTTTGCTGTGCTGCTTGTGTGTTTGCACAGGGTACACGAGAGAGAATTGAAGACAGCTTCTTTCTAGCTTGCATACAAGCATATAAAGGGAGCCCTGGGAGTTCATGGGTTTTTCTCTGTTAAGTTTGGCACCATTTTCAATTCAGATAAAATGCTACCTTAAACTAATGCAATTTACTCAGATCCTGTTGGTGACACTGAAAGATATGAGCTGATTCACATAGCTGGAAGTAGTCTGTTGAACAGGTTACCCTGTGCCATTTAAAAATATTTCTATTGCCTTAATGATTGGGTTTACAAAGTGGTTTAATTTTCCTGCATAAATCACTGAAGGGCTGAATCTGGAAGTGTGACTTTATTAGGAAGGATTACTTGACTAGAAAGGTACTTAGGGTCCAGAAGGATATTAAACAAATTTGTTTCCTCAGTGTCTTTATCTACAACATGTATCTGGGAGTTAGAGTTACAGGAATTTCATTTGATTCAGAGGATGATGGAAAAATAATGGAGTGTGAAGACTGTTCTGAGAATATGCAAGAGGTGTGCAGTACAGGTCCTGAGAACATAGGAAGAAGTAGTGTTTCACTACTGGCGAAAAGGAAATGGTGGTATAAGAGATGTGTTTGGTTGAGAAGTTGTTTAGATGATAATTGGATTTGGAGAGAAGAAAGTTTTTTAAGTAGCTTCCATTTTTGAGGAGGACAAAAGAAAGAATCATAAATGAATTCCTGTTTTTGCCGTTAGTAACGTTCTTTGTAGCTTGACTTGTGAAACATCCTTGAATTTCAGCCCTTTGTTAAACCTGGTTGTTCTCTGAAATGGTATGAAGGGCTATATTTGTCAAATGCACATGGATTTCAAATACTAAATATCTAGTCTGTCTTGGAAATCAGTGGGGTTTGGTGTAGCTTCTGTCACCTGCCTGGAATGAATTCTCCATGTACTGCTGAGTGGCACCAAGTGTTCGTGCCCCCTCTCCCCTTGTGTGACGGTGCCACTGGAAAGGTGGGTCCCGTCTCCAGTGCTCCCCACAGCCCCTCTGTCGTCTGTGGGCTCAGCTGCTTTTGGTGAGCTCTTAACTTAAACCAGACCTTCTCAGGCTGGTTTGAGCTCTTTTAGGTCCTTTTGGTCAAAATGGGTGAGGGAACAACTGCCTGAACAGCACAGCAATGGAGCTGTTGGAAGGGCCATTTTCAGACCTCTTTCTTGAAACGGAGAAGCTGCCCATTGCCACCAAGAGAAGCAAACTCAAGACTGCTCTGCATCGAAGAGTCACAGAAAACAAGTGCTTGTAGTCCTGGGTGTGCAAATCAGATTTTATGAACCTGTGTTTCACACAGCACGTTTTTGACTTGCACAGTTGAGAAGTGGTTTGAATATAGAAAAGAGCGTAGAATGTCCTGGGGGAATACCTGCGCCTGAGGGAGTCCCAGTCCCTAAAGCTGAGACTTTAAGGGCTGAGACTGAACATTTCTGAACCCCACCTATGTTGGAGATAGTCTTTAGGGACAAATATCAAATGGATAAACATGTGTACAGCATTGTTCTTACTTCTCCTGGAGTTACTCTTGGGTGCAAAAAGCATGTCATCACAGTCTCAGGCTGAGCACCTTAAAGGTACCTTTGCCAGGACAGGTTACTTCCCACAAAGGGAGGCAATAATTTGGTGTCTGAAAACCTTTGGTACAAAGTCAAGTTTGTTTTAACTGTGTTGACAGAGTTCTTCCCCTTGATGTCAGCAGGAGGAATGGTGCTGGGCACCAGATTTATTTACATCACGTGTAATGCATCGAGAGCACTGAAAAAAGTTGTTTTGCTTTCCCCAGCAATGAAAGAATCTGTAGTATTTCCGTTAGATAAGGTGGAAAGTGATGAAAGAAAAGCTGGGGAAACAAGAAGTAAATGTATTTGAAATGCAATCAGCTGGCTTCTGTTCAGTCCCAAGCCTGTGGCCTGGAAGAGCCATAGAGGCAGTTAAATACTGAGAAGGTTAGAAGTTCATTCTTCATCTGGGAAATGTTTCAGATTTATTGCTGTGCCCGGCACCCCTGGGGATTCTGTGAATGCTGTGGCTCGAGTTAGGTCACTGCGTGAGCTTCCCGTCGCCTGTCTTGGTATTTATGCTGCAGATAATGAGTTTAGAGGGAGTTTTCTCTTTC